TATGCACCAGTTGTTATTGATACTGAAGGGATGTTACGACAGAGCGTTAACAGGGGAGCTAGATGGGCAATAACAGTTAAGTATGTGTCAGCGCCGACGTCAAGGTTTGATGGAGTCGCTAATTAGTGGCCTCGACTAAGCATTTTTCGGAAAAACTTTAATAATTGTTCCTACACTCGTTAAAATGATGGGGAGAAAACGGTGAGTTGTCATTTGTAACGACTGTGACATGAGACGAGGGTGAGATCCATCGGGTCGACGTTGATCTTGTATAGAACCCCTCTCGTGTGTAAGTGTTGATTATCATTCTCTCATTTTGTCCTTTGTTAAGTGTTTTTCTCCTTCTTGCAATACCAGAAGTTTAACGGTTGTGACAACTTGTCCTCTTAGTGCTTGCTCCTCTATGCCTTTGTTCGATGAGCAAGAGGGGAGTGATGCTAAAGAAAGTTGCTTATCTGCTGGCCAAGTATTTGCTTGACGGAGACTAGCTACTCAATTATTTGGGGTCTGCTTATCGATTAGACAATGCCCCTGTTTTAGTTCACATGAGTAAAGGAAGGACGGTAAAGTGATTGAAAATATATTTATTCGCAAGTCAAAGAGGTGTACGAGAGTGACGTGTGTGATGTGACATCTCCGGGTGACTTTGAGTGAGCAGCGTGCTGACAAATTTGTGGAAATCATACTTCTCCTTATGTGTTTGACCGAAGCTGTGCCAACGACGTGTTGGCTTTTCTTCCCCGGACAAAGTTACTCCCAAGTAGTACCTCTGCAAACTGTTGTGCTCACGACAGTAGACTATCACTACTGATTGACTCACTGGTCAAAACGCATGAGTTAAGGTCATGTTCCTAGTCTAGCGAGACTCCGTGATTGGGATCACGTCAGATTGCTCTGTCGTGAGGTGATCAGTTCTCCGATTGGAACAGTGCCTGACTGTCCAGCCACTGGATGACCGTCATGCTGGGACTGACGAATGGAAGCTTATTTACACTACTCAATCGACACTGCACTTAACATTCCCTGGACCCAGGACTTGTATGATCTAGGTCGTCTATTTGCTCAAAGGCTACTGAGCGAAAAAATTGAGATCCGTGCAGTTCCTAGCTCATAGCACGATGAACATCAATTTGTGAGATAATTGTGCTGAGTTTGTCGGATGATTATGAGTTACCCTATATTGTATGCACGGACCAGGAGTGGGTAAAAGGTCAGTTTTTACTCTGGATCTGAATATCAGCTAGGTGTGGATGCTTAGAAAACCCTGTGCATAGTGGGGTTTAAGAGTCGTCAAAACGGGACCCGCCAAATTAAAAGGATGCCACAGCCTGGTGCTAGTCCACAAATTATCGGGCCCTAGAGTGCTGTGTTTTTCTTCTTAATACGTGGGTGATGGACCTGCCAAGCCATTGTGTTGGATGAACTGGTCAGGCACACTTCTAAATGAGTTGTCGTGCACTAAGGGCAAAATGTCAAGGAGGGCTTACTAGCACGGAGCACCGGGCATGAAAACTATACAGTTACCTCCGATTTTGGTCGATTCAGGGCACGAAGCCACAGAAGAAGAATATCAATGAGTAGCTTCCTGTTGAGGGATTTTGCTAATACGATTGGGAACCCGAAAATCCACGGACGTCTCAGTTCTAACTTTAACATCCCACCTGACAAACCCTAAAAATTTTCGACAGACCTGGCGCCTGCAAGAACTATGGGGGAAGATGAGATTCTAGTGTTGAAGTGTTCACTAGTTAGAAACAAGGGTGAGGGATGGGAAAAAGAGGCGTGCTTGGATATGAAGTTGTACCAGCAAACCCAAAGAGAGCATGCTGTTCAGATGGTTGGTGAGAGGAAATTTATTGAGTACGTGGTTTATTTCTACTGGCCTGAAGGAAAACTGCACAGCATGAGCTCAACTTTAGAGACTATTGAATAGGCCAAGGCGAAGCTTGTATGAGTTTGACTCGTGCTCGAATCTTTATCTTCCGAAAACTCCATCAGTTCTGAATAAGCGGCAGATTGCAGCATCTTCTGAAGTGTGATGACACGTGAAGTACCAGTGACTGAGTACTCAGGACCATACTCAGAACAATACTCTGATCAGTACTAAGACTCAGTACTCAGGACCATACTCAGAACAATACTCCGATCAGTACTCAGACTCAGTACTCAGGACCATACTCACGACAGTACTTAGATCAGTACTCAGACTCAGTACTTAGGACCATACTCAGAACAGTACTCAGATCAGTACTCAGACTCAGTACTCAGGACCATACTCAGAACAGTACTCAGATCAGTACTCACACTCAGTACTCAGGACTGTACTCAGAACAGTACTCAGACTCGGCATTCAGACACAGCACTCCGGAAACAGCGCTTGGAAACAACAATCAGAGACAACAGTTCGAAACAGTAATCTCGAACTGCAACCAGAAACGGCATTCAGAACAACACTCAAAAGCCATTAAAACAGCGGAAGTCTGTCATTCAAGCACAATCATTTCTCTCCCTATCTGGGAGTAACTATTTACCAAACACATGAGAGAGATCAATCCCATCACAGTTGACCAGTCGGTCCTTGACAGTCTCAATCTGATTGCTGCCAGGGAGAGTTTCCCCTACAGGTACGTCAGGATTGATGGGTTCAAGCGAGAAGACCTGTCCATCTTCATCGCGCTCACTGAGTTCGCTGAAGGTACAATCAGTGACCTACGGATCTTCCTGAAAAAGGGGAACGAGACACACCCTCATTTTGATACAGTGTGGGCAGCAGCAGCCGGGTATGTGCAGTGGAAAGCTGAGAGACTCCAAGGGAACACAAAGCTAGTCTATAGCTTTGGTCCTAAGCTTTTCACTAACTATCCCAAACCTTCGGTCCCTTACTATCTTACTAATGGCTCTTATTGGGGTGGATTGGTGGACTTGGCAAAGAGGTATATATCGCCTGCAGTGATCGATTATGAGGCAGTGACTGAACCCTACGAGTTTCCACATCTCAGGAGAGGCATTTTCTCTCAGCCATATCTCCCCAATCTTTGGGAGGAGTTTTGTGCCATGGTTGATTTTTGTATCATAAGACATGGCTGAAAGTGTCTGGAACTAGTGGGCTTCAGGTGGCTTTACATTCAGAAGCCACAACCTCAGAGAGTATGGAGACATGGCAAGAGGCCCAAACGACAGGCAACAAAGTGACAGATGAAGAGTGAGGTTCAGAGGGTTGAGTGAGGACTCTTGATTGGTGTTGATCATGCTCGCTTCCATATGTACTCCCTGAGACTGTAATGAGTTCTCATTTTTCCCTCATTCATTTGATCTTGTCTTTGCTCGAGTCAGTCGGTCTTGCCTCTTGCGTTGTTCTTGCCTGATGACTGCTATCATGAATGATTTTGTCACAGTTCTCAAAATCATATTAACATAATTTACGCACGCACAGCTCCTCATAATTTTATGACTATTATTTGTGTGATTCTTTGCTGTTCCGAATAAAAATAAAAGATTTCCAAGACTGGGGACCGACGAAGACCGCAATTGAAGGGTCTCGCTCGAAGCCGGACGCACACAACAGGAAGGGATTTGCATTATTTAATTTATTTAATTTATTGCAACCTCATACAAAATCATGCGTGAGAGCCTGTTGGCTTTTCGATCGCCCTAAGTGGCTCGACTGAAAAAAAGTGTGACACCGTACGTATAGTCGTACGTGAGTATGTACGGTCGTACGTGAGTACGTACGGTCCGTATTCGTATGGTCGTATACACTGATCTTAGGGAACGTTGAACCCGCTTTCCAGCAGGTGATGCTCCCCACTATTAGAATGAAACCTCCTGCAAAATATATACGAATATATGCTTTTATCAGCACTCCTATCTATTTTTGTGGACGGTCATCGACAGTTTGTCCTTAAAAAAGAAAAAAAAGAAAAAAAAAATCGTAGGCAACAAACGTTGGTCAGCCTCTACAAACCAAGTTCGGTCATAATAGCAGAAAGAGACTCAAGATCAAGCATAGACGTTTAAGTACATTCCTTGGAACACTTCAACTACTGAAGCGCCATCCTAGATGGGTTGTGCAGTCCATGTACAGTCCTGCAAACAGTTAGACAGTAGGGAACAGACTCACGGTAAGCTATACACTCTACATACAATCATGCAAACACTTCGGTGGTAGGAAATAAACTTTAGACGGAGAGAGAGAGAGAGAGAGAGAGAGAGAGAGAGA